AGCAGAGATGGGAAAGAAAGAGGCAGAAATATAGGAGATTGGGGACAATGAAAAGATGGGAGAGAAAGAGCAACAAGCAGGTGAAACAAGGTTTAAGACTGGAGCAGCTCAGATGGAAGAGAAGGAATAGAGGGAAGAAGGGGAGAAAGCAGAAGATGAGAAGGGGGGGGGTCAGAAGTCCAGGGGTAAAATTAAGAAAAGAGGGGGAGAAAGAGCTAAAGAGAGAAGGTGAGAATGAGGGATATGTGTGTAATGAGGGTGGGAAACACAGTAATGAAGAAAGTTGAGGAAACTGATTCCAGGTGAGTGGTGACTTGATTAAATATGGATGATCAAGTTGTAATACATTGATTTCTTTCTCTGTTATATAATGAATTTAAATTTTGTGTGTTTAAATTACACAGATGAGCATGAGAATTGCAAAACTCCTGTGCATAAGGGCTAGTGCATTTTATAGTTATGGCATCAGAGTATAGCTTCCACTTGCAGTCCCTGTTCAGCCAGAGGACAGTGACTTTACTCATTCAGTTGTGGGTCACCCTCCTTTCTTGGGATGGGGTGGGGACTAGGGAAGTGAAGTAGAACAAATAATGAGTCTCTGTTGCTTTGTGCAGCTTTTTATAAGGAACATTGAAAGTGATTTTGTTTTCATTTGGTAATGGATTTACCTTTTATTTTTCTGGTTCCCCTTCATTTCATTCATTTTTTTATAAAGTTTGAAATAAATTCCAGTTTATTCAGATTGATTGTTCATATAAAATTACTTCAAAAATAAGCCTTGGTGGCATCGTATAATCAGTGCACTTCACTTAATTCTTTTCTAAATAGAATATATTTTCAAATTTTTCCCGTGACCCCAGAATTTATTAGGATATGAAAACATTTCAAAATAGTTTCTCTTTGAAATTAATTACGTATTAGATGGAGGTCTACATACTTTCCACTGTTTATTATTAATATTTATTGAAAACATTCCATGGTAACCAACAAATGATTTTAGATTGTTTCAGTGTATAGTTGGTAAAGATGTCAATTACCTTAAAATCAAAAGCTAGTTTAAGCAGTGCTTCTATTCACTTTTCTTACCTTACATCATCTGTTCAAATAGTGATCTGTGATTTACTAAGTAGATGTTTTCGTTTCCCCTAGTCCATTATGTGCGTATGTTGAAAGGTGGGCTCGATTCACCTGGAATGATGTTCTAAAAGAGTCCATGCATTCTTGATTAGAAAAGTTGCTCAGAACTTATTTCTGGAAATGATTATCTTTCACTGTCTTCAGCACCAGTAACTATGTGTTCGTGTTATTGTGAACACATACCAATGTATTACTGTGATTTTTCCTGTAAAAAGAAATTAAATGTTTTCAATCAGTAGCATCAGAATGTTGAAGGAGAGGGTTTTTTTTTTGTTGTTTTTTTTGCTCATACATGTGAAACATGGTCATGCAATTTTCAAGTGGAGGTGTGATAAAGAACAACTCACCTCATTGGACCTTCTGGGCCATTGTATTAGAATTTAGTTATACCTCCTTCTTGTCACTCAACTTAGACCTTCTTAGATAACTTGGTTTAATGTTTCCCCCTCTGGCCTCAGTGAGCCCACCTGCAACACGGAAATGAGGGACTAGACCAGACAACCTCAATTCGATTGACATTCGGCCTGTGAAATGATTGGCCAAATTGAGTGTGTGTCTGTAAACAAAATGGAAACAGACCCACAAGAAGGGAAAAAGCAGCCTTAGGGTCAGAGACAGAAACCATAAATAGAGGCCTTTCTTTGCATTAGGATTATCGGGGCTAAATCTAAAGGCAGGTCATGTCAGTCCCTGGCATTGAGCCCTCCTCTGGCTTCCCATGTTCCTGAGGGCAAGTCCAGATCCTCCCTGTGGCTCCACAGCCCTGTGTCACAGAGCCTTGCCAGTGTGTGCAGCCTCCTCCTGGGAGCCCACCCTTGTCGTGGCTCTCTCTACCCTGGTCACATTTGCATTTATCTTTGTCCAAACCCTTTCCTGTCTGAAGTCTTTGTCCCTGCTCTTACCCTTTGTCCCTAAATTGTCCTGATTCTGACCCTTTCTCCTTCAGATCTAGGCTCAGAGATTTCTTCCCCCACCCTATCACATTTGCTTTTTTCTTTTCACAAACACAGAAACCTTTCCTGTCTCAGGTCTTTGTCCCTGGTCTTACCCTTTGTCCTTAAATCATCACAGCTCTTGCCCTTTCTCTTCCTTCAGGTCTAGTCTCCCACCTTATCATTTCGGGTCCCCTCCGCAAGTCAGTCAGCCTCTATTACGTCACTCAGGTTTTATTTGCATCCCACAGGCCTACCCCCGTCGCAGGGCCTGTGGTCTCTGCTCAGGGGTGACTGGGAATGGTCTGTCCCTGCTCCTGACTGTCGCTGGCCCTGCGATTGTGCCCCACTTGCCAGCCACACTCGAAGTCCCAGGACGGTATGGCATCCTTCCTCCATGGCATCGTCCATTTTAGTTCAAGGGAATTAGTTTGGTCAGCTTACCCAGAAGGAGGTATTATCCGTTAAAACACATACAAATAATAAAGCTGTTATTTTCCATCCACAGTCCATCATTAAAGCAAAAAGTACTCTGTTAACTGCATTCCTTCTTGTGTAAAGCATCCCTTATCTATGTTCCATTTAAGAGAACAAACACTGTTCCTACAGGTTGACAGATGTAAAAAAAAAAAAAAAAAAGAGAACAAACACTGAAATCTTGTTTTGTATTCTTTTCTTAATTCCATTCCTCAGTTCTTGATTGACCACTCCAATGAAGCTTGCACATCTACCCTTCCATTAATCCTTTCCTTTTCAGAGTCACCACTGACCTTGCCAATTTAAAATCCAACATTTCATTTCCTGTCATCATCTTCCTTTTCCTGTCAGCAGCATGTTGCAAAGATGATCATTGCTTCTTTTTTCTTGCCTTGAGGACATACCACTAACCATTATAAAACTATGGGAAAAAACTTTTTAATTAATTTATTTTTGAGATGGTCTCAGTGTGTCAACTGGGCTAAAGTGCAGTGGCGTGATTAAGATGAGTGTAACTTGAAACTTATGTGCTCCAACCATCTTCCTGCCTCAGCCTTCTCCTGAGCAGCTGAGACTACAGGCATGCACCACCATGCCCGGCTAATTTTTAAATTTTCTCTAGAGACATGGTCTTGCTAGTATGTTGCTCAGGCTCGTCTCAACATCCTGGCTTCAAGTGACCCTCCCATATTGGCCTCCCGAAGTGCTGGGATTACAGGTGTGAGCCATAGTGCCCGGCCTGTTTTATTTTGGTTTTGGCTCCTAATGAGTTCACACTTGTCTCTGCTGGAGTTCTTGGACTCCTTGTTCTGTGAATGTGAGAGTGACCCACAGCTTGGCCCTTGAACCTCTTCTCTTGTCTGTGCACACCCACTGCCTTTCCTAAACATTTTATCTAATGCTTTAAGCCCCACTACATGTCTCCATTTCCCCTGCACCTCTCCCCTGAACTCTGGAATCCTCTGGCCAATTGTCCCTGTGACATCTGTGCTGGACTCTCACGGGCATCTCCACCTTCGTATGTCCAAAAGCAACTTTCTGAACACCCCAAATGTGTTCCTTACAGTCCCCACATGTCAGGTGAGGGCCCCCCTGTACTTCAGGGGGCTTAGTTGAGCTCACTGGCTTATATTTTAAACATAGGAAATACTATATTGTTTATAAGTGTTTTAATAATAATAAAAAATATTACATGTTTATTTAAAACAGGTGAGGAAATACATCATTTCCAGTGTTCTTCTGAGGTGTGGGAGAGAAATGTGTGCAGACCTGGCCCTGCGTGCTCTGCTCCCCCTGGAACTCTCTGGCCTCATCTCCTGCTTGTGTGGTCCTGGCTGGCTCTGCTCCAGCCTCACAGGCCTCTTTCCTATTCCTGGGGCCAAGGTGGCTCCTGCCTCCGGACCTCCAGGTTGCCTGATCCTCTGCCTAGAACCCTCTGGCCACTCAGCTGTAGATGACAAACACCATTTCTTCCATGGTGTTGTTCTGATATCCCCTTCTTAGTGGGGACTTCTGTGACATGCCCCTATTTAACATTCCACCAACACTCTCAACCCCACCTGTGGACCATATTGTACAATGCCCGTTCCTTTCTGCTCCTCCACCTTCCAGTGTCTGGATACTGGTGATGGCATGTCCCTGAGCGGGGAGCAGAGTCAGAGGGTGGGAGGTTTTACCAGGCTTACTGCCTTTGAGTGGAGCTCAGCCCTGGCTTCACATTAGGGTGTTGAGGCATTTTGCAGATTCATGTCTTAACCCTCTTACTAGAGATTCCCATTTCCCTTGCTGCAGTGAGTGTGTGGGCTTCACCAGGAGGGGAGCAAGATCTGACAAAAGATGTCAAAAACTCACTGGTTCGGCTTCCTGTAGGAGTTTATTGTTTCTGCATCTCTCCTGGGGCCATGAGCAACAGGGGGCCATCTTTCCCACAGGCTGCAGCAGTGGGGAGCTGGGCTGGGCTGAGCTGCCCTCCTGGGCCAGAGCCAGCCCCAACCAAACAGGATGCAGAGCACAGCCCCCCTCACCCCTGCAGGGACCTCAGCCATGACAAATGGAGGACTCAGAACCTTGACTGGACACAGAATAGAATCAACTCTAAATGTTATTAAGCCTGTGCCTAACCTAACACTGTCAATGGGAATCTCCAGTAAGAGGGCATAAGAGATGAAGTCGCAGAATGCCTCAACACCCTAATGTGAAGCCAGGGCTGAGCTCCACTCAGAGGTGGGAAGCCCGGCACCCGCTGACTCTGCTCCCTGCTTAGAGCCATGTCCTCAGCAGTATCCAGTCTCCAACCTGTGTGTGGTTGTCACACAAGGGGGTGTGTTGGTTCTGAGCATTAAACAGCATATTTTTATTATTTAGGATTGACTTGTAAACACTCCAGTTACGTGAAGAAGAAGTCCAGAAGAGGAAAGGAAAGGAGTCAGGAATGGCTGTGACTCAGGTAAGGTGATGTTCTCAGTGGGTGGCTCTGTGACTCCCTCCTTTCTGACATGCCGGGCTCTGGAGTCGCTGATCTTCTGTGACTCTGAAGCGTCCTGCCTGTTGTGTTTGCTCACACTCACCCGTGCCTTCCCTCAGTCCCTGTCACCTCCACTCAGATTCCATCTCCCTGTGACCCAGTGACAGGACCTTGGGAAAAGGCTCCATTGGACACAGGCCTCGATAGGGCTTCACACCCAGATGTGGATTGCAGAGAAGGTGAGGTCCCTGTCGTGTCAGTGCAGTTGGGCAGCAGGGCTCTGGATGCACTGTCAGCTATAAGGCCAAGATTAGTGAAGCTGCATGTGAAGTCTTATACTAAGGTGCACAAATACCTGGTTAATTTGGAAAAAGACATCAGAAGTGGGAAATCCTTTCTGAAACTACCTTTGTAGTAAATATCTGACAGTAGAAAAGTTTTAATTTTTGAAAGTATATTTAATACCCAGACACACATATGTGTCTGTGTATACATAGATATTTGGGTTTTTTTTGTGGTGATTTCTTTGTCGTTGTGGGTTTTTTTGGTTTTTTGTGACAGAGTCTCTCTTTGTTGCCCGGGCTAGAGTGATTGCCATGGATCAGCCTAGGTCACAGCAACCTTAAACTCCTGGGCTCAAGCAATCCTCCTGCTTCAGCCTCCCATGTAACTGGGACTACGGGCATGTGCCACCATACCCAGCTAATTTTTTCTATATATATTAGTTTGTCAATTAATTTCTTTCTATTTATAGTAGAGACAGGGTCTCGTGAGTGCCGTGGCGTCAGCCTAGCTCACAGCAACCTCAAACTCCTGGGCTCAGGCAATCCTCCTTCCTCAGCCTCCCAAGTAGCTGGGACTACAGGCGTGCACCACTATGCCCGGCTAATTTTTTCTACATATATTAGGTGGCCAATTAATTTCTTTCTATTTATATAGTAGAGACGGGGTCTCGCTCTTGCTCAGGCTGGTTTTGAACTCCTAACCTTGAGCGATCCGCCTGCCTCGGCCTCCCAGAGTGCCAGGATAACAGTTGTCAGCCACTGGGCCCAGCCGTTTTTCTTTTAGTTGTTGTTGTTTTGTTTCTGAGTCAGGGTCTTACTCTGTTGCCCACACTAGAGTCCAGTGGTGTTAGCATAGCTTACTAGGACCTCAGACTCCTGCTAATCACTCTTGCCTTAGAGCAGGAAAGTTTTTGTTTGTTTGTTTCTTGTTTTTGCAAGTGTCAAATGAAGTTTATTAAGGAAGGACAAGATATGTTTACAGAGCAAGAACAAAATATAGGCTTACAGAGTGAGAGGAAGATATGCTTGGTATCGAAAGGTGAATGGGCCTCTTGTTCTAACAAAAAGGGCCTAGAGCAAGAAAGTTTTTAAACCATTCTCAGCACATGCATTCCATGGAGACTCTGGTGTTCTGGCAGAACCTCTTCTGCAACATGTGTTTTAGGTAAAAATGATTATAATTTTACTCAGGTATCGAAGCAGAATTACTTTGTCATCACAGAGGGTGCGGCCATATTCTCGCTCCACCAATTGTTATTAAATATATATTTTTTATTTTAAACATCACTTCCTGTGTATGTTTGTATTAAAGTAAAACTTCACACAAAGATGCAGCTGAGAGCCTGACATGTAAAGCATCCCTCTCTCAATCTGCTACCATCCCTCCAGGGTGATTTTGGGACCACTCTTGTCAGTTGTTTGGCAGGAGGCAGAGCAAGTTTTGTACAGATGTATTCCACGTTGCTATGAGATTTTAGAAAAAATTCTTCAGGGAATGTTTCTTTGTAATAATTTATCCTGCTGGTTGTGAAAATTTACATGTTTTCGTGTCAGTAAACATGGATAGCTTGCTACTTCACATTTTCGTTGGAGTATTCTCTGAACGTGGATCTTTATAACTTTTCACTGTTAAAAAGAATGTCACAGTGGCTGCCTCTGTGCCTGCCTACATCTCTACAGACGTCTGAAGGTTCCTTCATGTTGGCACTTGAAAGAGTGATTGATGCCTTTAGTACGAAGCTGTTGGTACTTTGTTATATCTGCTAAGATTGCTTCCCTACCCCAGCTGCAGGGATACCCTCTGCTACCCAGAACGAGTTAGATTCTCCCTCATTAAACAAAACTTGCTACTTTGTTCTTTTTTTTTTTTTTTTTTTTTTGAGACAGAGTCTCACTTTGTTGCCCAGGCTAGAGTGAGTGCCGTGGTGTCAGGCTAGCTCACAGCAACCTCAATCTCCTGGGCTCAAGCGATCCTACTGCCTCAGCCTCCTGAGTAGCTGGGACTACAGGCATGCACCACCATGCCTGGCTAATTTTTTGTATATATATTTTTAGTTGGTCAATTAATTTCTTTCTATTTTTGGTAGAGACGGGGTCTCGCTCAGGCTGGTTTCGAACTCCTGACCTTGAGCAATCCGCCCGCCTCGGCCTCCCAAAGTGCTAGGATTACGACTTTGTTCTTTTTATATTTTTGAAAACCTGGGGAAAATGACAAACTTTTGTATTAACATTTTTCCTTTCTTGTAAGTCTGCATGGTTTTCATTATTTTCTGGACATGTATATATAAAAAGGATTTACATACTTTGCTCAATTTTGTCTTCATATATATACTTCAGGATCTATTTTGTATCCCGTGGTTTATATTCTTTATACATATCCTGGTGTCTTTTTTTACATTATACATTCTTTAAATATGAAACAGCAACCTTTTTCGCATACCATCTGGTTTTTATTGTGCCTTTGTTGTTTATTTTATCTTTATTTGGAAGGCCTTGCACGATTACAGAATAGTATGTTTCATTTACATCTAAACTTTTATTGTTTAACATTTTGATTATGTCTCAGTTTAATTTGAATTTTTATGTATATCTTATTTTAGGTATTTTATTTATGTAATGTCATAAGAGGTTCATGTTGAACCTGGTAAACTCCTCCATTTTCTTTTTCTTTTCATAATTATCTTTGTTCTCCTGTGACACGACACAGTGAGATTCGTGGAAATCTCATATGTTCTCTTTGTCTTTCAATGGCTCTAGACTTCTGATCACAGAGGTCTTTACATCTCCACATCTTCCAGTCAGAATTAGGTTTCCTGGTCTTTGATCATGTCTTTGATACGTCTTTTAGTAAAGTTTGTTCCCTTGTTCGTAATGTTAGGTGTATTCAAATTATTGTCCAACAAGGTGCTAGAAGTTTTTCATATTGGGAAATTGAAACTGTACCCAGTAAACACTTACTCTCCCTCTGCCTTTTCATTGTCAGCCATCTTTTCTGTTTGTTTTTGTGTTTGGAATAGCGCCTAGCACATGGGAAGTGTTCAGAAGCTTCAGTCACTGCCATTGCTCTCATCATGTTGGATTTTAGATTCTGACCTTTCTTTAAAGGCGTCATAGACGTTGTCATCTCTGAAGTCACCATTGACACCTTAGCTCATCTAGATACTGAATATCACTTCCAGTGTCACAAGTAGTATCAGACACTACTCAAGAGATAACCCTGCATTGATTTTTTAATTTTTATATTTCTTCTATGGTCTACAAAAATAAGAAAATCCATACTGATTTAGAGGGAGTTAGAACCTTTAGTGGAAAAGTATAATAAAAGAGAATTAGGGAAACATAATGTGGTCATAAATACCTTACTTGGATTTGTCAGAACGTCCAATTAAATGAATTGATCCTTTCACCTCTTCCTCTTCTCGTTTTTTGTAAACATAAAAACCCTCCCCATAACCCCTTGGTAAAATGTGTTTTCATTTCAGAGGCCTTTGACATTCAGGGATGTGGCCATAGAATTCTCTCAGGAGGAATGGACGTGCCTGGACCTTGCTCAGAGGACTTTATACAGGGACGTGATGTTGGAGAACTATAGGAACCTGGTCTCCCTGGGTGAGAATTACTTTTCTTCAGAAGTCAGGATCTGTATATTTTCCCTGATTGCCTCTTGGGACCCCCCGCCTTACCGACTGAGTGAAGCTATATTGATAGAGAAATGAAAAGCTTCATAATGTACCATCTGGACTTTACCTGTCCCCCTTTTTCAGATGTTCTGCCCTTCACCATAGTAGGCGCAGGTATGTATAAAGCCATGTGGCTTTTAAAATATCCCATTCTTTGTTTTCTGCCCCCATGCTTTTGATTCAGTAGATTTTGGAAGACAGACAGACATCTGCATCTTACAGTATTCCGTAAACATTCACTGGTGGACATTCACAGGATGAATTTGTGAAATATTTTCCTAGATTCATCTGTAATGTCCTTCCTCCTACCTTAATGTGGGGCTGGAATTTTGGAAAAGCACCAGCACATGATGTTCCCTTTTTTTTTGTTTTTAAAGCAGGAATCTATGTTTCTCACCTGAGTATCATCTTCATGTTGGACCAAGGGAAAGAGCCCTAGTCTATAGAGACTAAAGTGAAAATAGCAAAAAGTCCAAAGGGTAGGAGTGTATCTATAAACTGAAATAAAATCTTAAACTACCCCCGCATCTGACTTAATGGACCCCTCTTGGCCAAGGGGACCCCAGAAATGCCCTAAAGCAGAGTTTCTGGCCATGAGAAGGAATGTCAGATACGCCTCATTATGCCCTTCCTTTCCTGGAGATGTCCTTTATAACTCATTTACAGGGCTAAGGCTATGCAGGAAAAAGCTAAAACCACACCTGTAGGTCCTCAATTTACTTACCAGATTACTTGAATGTTAGTATATGTCCAGTGGATTATCTATGATTATCACACTTCCTTATCTTAAAACATTTGAAACCTTTAGATGAAGCTTCATTTTGTGAACCAGTTACAAATCAAAGCATCTTTAAACCCGCCTGTAACCTGTAATGCCCTGCTTCAAGGCATCCTCCCTTTTCAGACCAAACCAGTGGATGCCTCAGACGTATTGATTTATGACTTAACATGTGATTTCTGACTTCCTGAAGTACATAAAACGAAACTGAAACCTACACAAGGAGAGATCCCTTGCTTAAAGTCTTCTTGGTTGTGGCTCTCCGAGACATTGTCACACATACTCGGCACAGAATAAACCTCTTCAAATTGTTTTACAGAGTTTGAGTACTTTTCTGTTGACATGTGGAAAGTGTGAACACCGGTAAGAGCTCAGATGGGCAGAGAATAAGCTGCTCCATTAAATAGTATTTGGAAAACTCTCCCCATGTCAAAGAGTTCTGCGGCACAATACAGTTTTAATCCTTGAGGTTTGAATGGAAAACTTTCTGTCCCCCTACTTACCTCTCTGGTCTTTAGACATGTGATGGTTTATTTTTCACCCTCTACTGCTGATGCAGCTCCAGCTGAGACAAAGGCAAAGTCTTTAAATTGTGATGGACAACACCCTGCGGTCTGGCTTTGGTCCCTAAACTATTTGCAGCAGAGGAAGGGCCTTTTGAAAGTGGTCTCCATTTCCCTTAATGTCTCCTTCTGTACTTTATTCCATATGGTGCTCAGGCTGCACCCCATTTCCTGTACTTGGAAGAGCTAATCAGCAGATGGGAAAACACTGGCTGCCCTTTCATTGCTTCTGGGTTGTAGCAAGTGCATTGAGCTGCCTCCAGCCCTCTGGGCCTGTTCAGGTCTATTTGAGATAGGAAGCAGCCAAAGTGTTTCTCCTGTCACACACCGCAGAACACTTCCCTCTGGTCACCAAAATGTGTGGGGATTTCTGTCCTCCCACAGCCAATTTTCTGGCCCACACCTACTGAGTGTCCTACAATTCAATTTAATTATTCCTTTACATCAGTTTCATGTGACCGAGTACTTACTCTTAAAGTATACTTTTAGGCCGGGCGGGGTGCCTCAGGCCTGTAATCCTAGCACTCTGGGAGGCCAAGGCCAGTGGATCGCTTAAAGTCCGGAGTTTGAAACCAGCCTGAGCAAGAGCGAGACCCCATGGCTACTAAAAACAGAAAGAAACTAATTGGCCAAATCAAAATATATAGAAAAAATTAGCTGGGCATGGTGGCACATACCTGTGGTCCGAGATACTCGGGAGGCTGAACTAGGAGGATGGCTTGAGCCCAAGAGTTTGAGGTTGCTGTGAGCTAAGCTGATGCCACGGCACTCTAGCCCGGGTAACAGACTGAGACTCTGTCTCAAAAAAAAAACCCCACAATACTTTTGTCCATTGAATTTATTACAATATGTAAAATAGGACTTTGTGATATCAAAATTAACACTTATTTTGTGTTAAATTACTGTCTTAATCTCAGAAATATATTAAGTTGACTTGCCATAAATTGTTATTAAACACATTGAGTTTTCTGTAGTGTGTTTTCAATTTTCTAAGCATAATCTGTGGATATTGTTTAAATTTTAGCTTTTCTTGGAATAAATGATGTGTTTCAATATAGTAATCATTCTTTCTAGATTCATCATGTGTATTTTGATAAGCTAAATTAATATTTGAATATCTCATAGTATTCTATTAGAAACTTCCCCCATTTCTTATTCTTTATCACCTTCTCTACTATTGTTTATATCACCTGTATTTTCTGCAGCATTTCTCCGGGAAACTGCATTCTTCAGTAACACATGAATATTGCTTTGCTACTCATCTTTCTTTGCATCTGAATTTTCTGTAACCTCTACCTGGTCCCTGTTAACTCTCCTCCTGTTCCCTGCCTCTTATTTGCTGTTTATGTTGCTGGCCACCCCCTCAGTGGGTTTCTGTGCCACTGCCAGGAAATGTTTCCTGACTTTGCAGCTACCAACAATGACCTTCAGTACAAACCATTCCCCACTGTGGGTCATGTACTTATTTTCTCTGTAAGGTTACTTGTGTTCTCCTGGTGCTATTTGCGAAGTCCAATATATTAATTTTGGATAAGTGCACATGAATATTCTTTCACTCACACCAGCAACTATATACCAAAACACATACAGTTACATTACCCATAACCACATAACTATTTTATATTTTGTCAGATAGCTTCAAAATATTTTATATTGTACAAGCTTAGGAAAGTTAAAGTGTACCTTATTCTGTGTGTTGTTCTCATTTAGTTTTTATTAATTACCATGACTATTTAAAGTCACTTCCTCTCTCTCTCTCTCTAGTATTTGGTAACTAGCATTCTAATTTATATGTGTATGAATTTGCCTGTTTTAGATTCCTCATATAAGTGCAATCATAATATTTTACTTTTTATAACTGGCTTCTTTCACTGAGCATAGTATTCTCAAGATTTATCTATTTAGTAGCATAAAACAGAGTTTCTGTCTTTTTCAAAGCTGAGTAATGTTCCATTGTATTGCCTGTGTTTGTCACAGTTTGTCTGTCTGTTTATTTGGGATCTACACCTGCGTTGCTTCTACCTTTTGGCTATTGTGAACAATAGTGCTGTCAATGGGCTTACAAATATCTCTTCGAGATCCTGTTTTTGAATCTTTTGTGTATATACGCAGATATGGAATTGAAGGGTCCTATGATAATTCAGTTTTGAAGTATTTCTGGGTAGGTCCTATAGTCAGCACTCCGTATCAACATATCAACATATTCCATATGCACGGAATCTGAGTCTGAGAATTCAACCAACTGTTAATCAAAAAGAATTATGTCACTTTCAAAAAGTAAAACTTGTGTCTGGCAGGTGTTAGTCCCATGCTGAATCCACATGAAGGAAGTGATACATTGGCATTGTATTAGGTATTGTGATTTTATGCTATTTTCATCAAAGTATTTCTGTATTGTCCTATTCAGATTGTTTGATTTGCAATTTCATGATAATTTGAGATGTTAATCATATCATAACAAATGTCTATTCAGGTCTTTTGCCCATTTTTAAATGATCTTCTTTAGTGTTTTGCTGTTCAGTTGTTTGAGTTTCTTACAGATGGATAGTTTGAAAATATTTTCTCCAGTTTCAAGTTGTCTCATTTTGCTAGTTTTGTTTTGTTCTCTTTTGTTTTTTTCCTGCAGTACAGAAGCTTTTCAGCTTGATGTAGTCTCATGTGTATACTTTTGCTTTTCTTGCTGCTTTTGAGGTTTTCCTATTATTTAATATGATTAATTTTCTCAATTTTCATAATTTATTCAAAGTAACTGTTATTTTCCTGGTTTTCAGTATACTTTTTTCTTCTTTGTCTTGGCTCTAATATTTATTATTTTGTTCTTCCTGTTGTGTTTGGATGTGTTTTTCTTTTTCTACTTTAAGGAGGTATAAAGTTGGGTTGTTTCTTATTTATTTATTTATTTCCTCTGGAAGCCTCTAAACATTTGGCAAAAAGTTGGGTTGTTGATTCAATATCTTCTATTTCAATGTAAGGCTTTGTAGGAAAGACTCTTTTTTAATCCCTCTGTGTTTTTTTTTTTTTTTTGTATTCCATAAGTTTTGGTATTTAGTGTTGCCTTTCTGATTTGTCTCCCATTATTTTCTAATTTCCCTTGTGATTTATTCAACATATTGGTTAAGAGTGTCTTCATTTACCCATATTTGTTGATTTTCCAGCTTTCCTTATACTGTTGATCTCCGGTTTTATTCCACTCTGACAGGAAAAAAATACTTTGTATGATTTCAGTGTTTTAAAAATCTTTTTAAAACTTCCTTTTGTGTCCTAACATCAGGTCAAGTTTGGAGATTACTTTATGTACGTCACAGAAACATTTATATTCTGTTGTTTTGAGGTGGTATGTTCTGTATATGTCTGTTAGGTCCAACTGGTTTATATTGATAGTTAAATCCCATACTTTCTTATTGATCAACTCTCATTGTTCTATCCATTATTTAAATGGGTAAATGTTTACTTTATACATGGAACTCTGATATTTCCTTGACATAGTGTACCTTGTTGCTGAGTTGATCCTTTCATTATGATATACTGTCCTTCTTTGTCTCTAATTAAAGATTTTTTAAGTTAAAGTGTATATTAGTATAGCCACCTCTGCTGTCTTTTGGATACCATTTGCTTACAGTATCATTTCTTTATATTTTCAAATTTAGCCTGTATCCTTAGAGCTAAGAGGAGTATGCTATGGACAACATGTAGTTGGATCCTGTTTATTCAGCCAATCTGTGTCTTCTGAGTCCTGAGTTAGACATTGTCATTTCAACTATTTTTAATGGAGAAGGCCATACTATTTCCTTTTTGTTGTATACTATCTGTATTTCCTGTGAGATTTTTTTTTTTTTTTTTTTTTGAGACAGGGTCTCACTTTGTTGCCCAGGCTAGAGTGAGTGCCGTGGCGTCAGCCTAGCTCACAGCAACCTCACACTCGTGGGCTCAAGCGATCCTCCTGCCTCAGCCTCCCGAGTAGCTGGGACTACAGGCATGCGCCGCCATGCCCGGCTAATTTTTTCTGTATATGTATATTAGTTGGCCAATTAATTTCTTTCTATTTATAGTAGAGACGGGTTCTCACTCTTGCTCAGGCTGGTTTAGAACTCCTGACCTCGAGCAATCCGCCCGCCTCGGCCTCCCATAGTGCTAGGATTACAGGCGTGAGCCACCGTGCCCGGCCCCTGTGAGATTTTTTGTTCCTCATTTTTCACTTGTTGCCTTCTTTTATGTCTTGTTACTTTATTGTAGAGAAATGCTGTTACTCCCTTTTATTTATTTTTGTATGTATTTTGTAGATATATTGAGGGCAAGGGTACAATTACAGGTATATTAAACATCTTAACGTTGTAAAGTATTAAACTGATAACAACTTAATTTCCATAACTTTTACATACTCCTTTACATCTTCACTGACTTTTTGTTATTGATTTCAGAATTATTTCTATATATGTTGTGTCTCCATTAATATATATGTATAGTATACTTGTATGGTTTTTTCTTTTTAAAGTTAGGAGAGAAACGTCAAGTTATGAGAAAGGGGTACAATTATGAAGGTTCTTGTATTCATTTATTTACCTTTATTGGAGGACTTTATATTTAGTTATGGGTTGGAGTTACTATCTAGCATTTTCTGGTTTCAACTTGATAGCCTCTCTTTAACATTACTCCTAAGACAGGTCTAGAGGGCTAATGAACTCCCTCAGGTCTTCCTCATCTGGGAAGGTATAAATTTCCTTTTTATTTTTGAAAAAGAATTTTGCAAACCATAGGATTCTCGGTTGATCGTTTTTTTAATTAACTACTTGGAACATACCATCCCACTGATTGCTGGACTGAAAGGTTTTTGCTGAGAAATGTAGGTAATCATATATAAAGTTCCCTTGCATATCACCAGTCTGCTCTTGCTCTGTATATGACGTCCATTGTGTTATTGCCTTTTAATGATTTGTTTCTAATGTATCTTGTGTGGGTGTGTTTGGATTATATTAAGTTGGAGTTGGTTGAGCTTCTTAAATTTGTATATCCATTTCTTTCCTTGAATTTGGGATATTTTGGAAATTATTTCTTCAAATGAGTTCTCAAATGAGTTCTTCAAATGGTCTTTCTCTTTGTGAGCCTCTGAATGTATTTATATTTTTCCATTTGATGATGTGTGAGAAAACTATTGGGCTGGTTTGTTTTTGTTACTCTTAGTCTGTAGGGCTGGCACAGATGTGCAGAGCACAGTCTCATCCCTTCCCCCGCCCTCTTTTTCCCCTTCGCTTTCCTTTTCCCCTGCTTCTCCTCTAAGTGCCCTTCCACAGCCTCCCAGAGCAGCCGGCTCATTCAGCGCATGCGCATTTCATCCCCAGGCTTATGCGATATTTCCGGGAAAATAAGACCTAACCTAAAATAAGCCCTACCAGGATTTCTAAGCATTTGCACAATATAAGCCCCACCCTGAAAATGGGACCTAGTGATGTGGGTGACTACACACCTTATCTGCACAACCTATGCATTTCCTCACAGAGCGGTTATGAAGACAGGCAGCCCTTCTCATCTGCCTAATGAGAGCTCTATGGCTGGAAATTAGAGATTGGGCCAGTGGTTCTAAAGGAAATAGAGTATCAAGAAATTGAGGATGGAACTTGGGGTTCGGAGAGTTATGATGATGTTCCAGAAGAAGACGACTTAACCATATTACAATAAATGTAGATTGTTATACCAAACTTTAAAAAAAAAAGACATCCCCTGAAAATAAGCCCTAGGGTATCTTCTTGAGGAAAAATAAATATAAGATTCTGTCTTATTTTTCGGGACACAAGGTACTTTGTTTTCAAGTTCTTTCATTTCTTCTCTGCTTTATGTTGTCTACTGTGGAACCACTCTAGTGTATTTTTTTTTTTTATTTTAGATTAAAAATGTCAGATGAATAGTGTATTTTTTTCAAGTCATTGCATTTCAACTGGAGAAGTTCTGATTGGATGTTCTTTATACTTTTTTTTATATTCTCATTTTCTTCATATATCGTTTTACTAATTTCATTTAGTTGTCTATGTCAGTTACTTAGTAGCTTATTGAGCATGATTAAGACAGCTGTTTTACATTTTTGTCAAGTAATTCAGAGGGCTGTCTTGTTTCAAGAGTTTTCCCAATGCTGTTCTGTATGATATATAGGTAACTTGGTTCTTCCTAAGGGAATGAGGTCTGGAGATTTTCAGTCTGCTATCTTGCAGACATCAGCCCTTCTGCCTTTTATTTATGCTAGGTTCTGTCTTAAGAGGTCTAGTGATGAATTTAAAATAATTAAAGGAGCCAGCAAAGAGGCACTGTAACTTTTATGTGCCAAAAGGGGAGACTAGCTCTTCAAGTTTTTTTGTGTCAAAATTCCTCTTTTAAAGTAACATATTCTTTATTTAATATTATAGTTAGTGAGGTTTTTATTTAATTTTACTAATGTGATCCAGGGCAGACCACAGTCAATGACAGCCTCGTAGATTTGTTTCTTCAAACATATCTGTACCTACTCAGCCAGTAGATCATCATTCTGCACCCATGATCTCCCTACATTACTGTCGTCTTTGTAAAGTTTCATCATATCTTTGTGTGTACAGAATGAAATCATCCATCTCTTCTCCGTGGCCATATTCAGGTATTTATTTCCTTAAGGTTGCACTGAGAACACCTACTCTTCTAGAATCTGTATGTAGATTACACGCCTAGAGATAGAATTCAGAAGCCATTGAATTTGATAAATTGTATTTCATATGAAATAATGTAAGACATGTAAACCTAATTTCTTTCCACATCATGAAACTAAGTTTCCATTAAATCTGTTTATTCTCATAGTTAATAATGGGATAGTTATGTATTGGCTGGTTACATAAGCTTCTCTCTTCTACCAAGGTCAGAATTTTAACTGACATGGTATGCTTCTGTTTCTGTAGATTTGCAAACATAATGTCGCCTATGAAAATATATGTTTAATATTGTAGTTCATGAGGTTGTATTTTCTCCCCATTTCAGTAATGTGATCAAAGGCAGAACTTGACAGCATCCTCCTGCTATCTTTCTTTCCTCAAACCCACCTCAGCATAGTCAGCCAAGGATGAGTCCCTGTTTACATAAACATCTTCCCTCCATTGCTTCTTTCCTTCCACTCTTGCCTTTTGTCCATCTTTGGCCTTTCCTCATGTAGCTTGGAATATCCAATCACTGTTTAGCATATTAATTTTTGTATTTGTGACCACTCCAATTTCCACAAGGCCCCCTTACCAGCCACACTGCTGTCACTGTGCAAGTAAAGACAGTTGTTCCCTATTGGAAAACTTCTCCAGGATGTTTGTGCAGTCATCACCCAGGGTACCCCTTAGTGACTATTTTCACTGGTGCCCTGAGTGATGACTGACATACCATTATCAATGAAGGATGAGTAACTCTATTAGCAACACAGCTTAGATCTTGTGTCTCCCTTGAAATAATCCTTCCTGTGCTCCTCTGTTTCCTATGACCTATTGTTTTTGGTACTGCTTGGATCAGCAGTTGTTCCTGAGAACATGAGTAAGCATGCAGTCCCAGGATCAAGTCGTCTTTTTCTCACTTAATGTGCAAATTGGGGTTAGATACATAAACGTTGTAGACCTCTCGTTTTTATTTGAAAAGTGAGAATTTATCTCAAGGTTCTTCTAACAAGTTAGTGCTGGTCAATGGCTAAAAATATTGCATGGTGTTGGCAAGATTGTGACTAGAACTTCAGCAGGTGAATTTTGGCCAACAAAATTATTCAGGCCATGGTTGCCTGGATTATGTCACATAGGATTTTATTTTTTAATTTGTTCCAAACAGTGTTTTTTCAGACCCCAGTTAATACATTTTCCTAGTATAAGTACATAATTCTCTTTGATTATTGGTCAGCCATGTGCTTTTAGCCCATTGCTGTGTGCTTTGGCTTGATGGTGGAACAATCCTCCGTCTTCCAGGGTCAATATAGGTTTGTACAGTCTGTTCTTGTGATAGACTGTTTCATAATAGGGTTCCCTGCATTTTCAATGATATGTAACCACGTTTTTGTATTTTAAAAGCACCTCATTTTCCTAAAACCTGCATGTCAGAATTGGAGGTTTTATAACTCTGCGTATTATGCGTATGTTACTCTTGGTGTTAGGTTATGTATTTCAATAGGAGGTATTTAATAACCATCTGCAATTCATTATAAACCTGTTCTTTATATCTTGTAGGTCTATCTTCTATATCTATGATAAGCGAATTGCCACTTAAAGAGAGCGGTAATACAGGAGAAATATCCCAAACAGTGATGTTGGAAAGGCACGAAAGCCATGACATGGAAGATTTTTGGTTTAGGAAAATCCAGAAAAATATACAAAACTTTGAGTATCAGTGGCAAGTTGCTGAAAGATATTACCAAAGAATCCATAATACCCATGAGGAAAATCTCAATGGTAGAAGAGACCAGCATGACAGAAGGAATGTAGAAAATAAGTTTATTAAAAATGAGGTTGGATTAAACTTTCAGTCACATCTACCAGAACTGGAACTATTTATGACTGAAGAGAAAATTTATGAATGGAATCACATGAAGAACTATGTCAACAATTTCTTGGTTTCCCCACTGGACAGAATTCCTTCTACTATCAATCCCCATATATGTCATGAAGATGAGTATGATTTTGTGGATTCATTATTTACACAGAAACCGAAAGCACACATAGAGACAGAATATTACAAATGTAATCGGTGTGGCAAGACCTTTAATCAAGGCTTACATTTCACTGTACATCAAATAATCCATGCAGAAGATAAACGATTTGAATGTGGTATATGTGCCAAGGTCTTTAATAAAAAATCATGCCTTGTAAGTCATCAGAGAATACATACTGGAGAGAAACCTTACAAATGTAACGAAAGTGGCGAGGTCTTCAATAATATTTCACATGTTGCACAACATCGGAGAATGCACACTGGAGAGAAACCTTACAAATGTAATGAATGTGGAAAGGTACTCCATCAAATTTCACACCTGGCAAAACATCAGGCAATCCATACTGGAGAGAAACCTTACAAATGTAATGAATGTGGTAAGGTGCTCAGTCGAAATTCATACCTAGTACAACATCGGACAATCCACACAGGAGAGAAACCTTACAAATGTATTGAATGTGGGAAGGAATTCCATTATAAGTCATCCCTAGCAAGTCATCAGACAGTTCATACTGGAGAGAAACCTTACAAATGTAATGAATGTGGCAAGGTCTTTAAGCATATATCACCCCTTGCACGACATCGGAGAATTCATACTGGAGATAAACCTTACAAATGTAATGAATGTGGCAAGCTGTTCAGTCGAAATTCTCACCTTGTAAATCATCAAAGGATCCATACCGGAGAGAAACCTTACAAATGTAATGAATGTGGCAAAGTGTTCAGTCAAAATGCACAGCTTATAAATCATCAAAGAATCCATACTGGAGAGAAACCTTACAAATGTAATGAATGTGGCAAAGTCTTCAGTCAAAATTTATATCTTGTATATCATCGCAGAATTCATACTGGAGAGAAACCTTACAAATGTAATGAATGTGGGAAGGTCTTTAAACATATTTCACACCTTGCACAACATCGGAGAGTTCATACTGGAGAGAAACCTTACAAATGTCATGAATGTGGGAAGGTGTTCAGTCATAAGTCATCCCTAGGAGATCATTGGAGAATTCATACTGGAGAGAAACCCTACAAATGTAATGAATGTGGCAAGGTCTTCAGTCGCAATTTATACCTTGTGCAACATCTAAGAATTCATACTGGTGAGAAACCTTATAAGTGTAATGAGTGTGGCAAGGCATTCAGTCAAAATTCACACCTTGTAAATCATCAAAGAATCCATACTGGAGAGAAACCTTACAAATGTAATGAATGTGGCAAGGTCTTTAATCATATTTCACACCTTGTAGTTCATCAAAGAATCCATACTGGAGAGCGGGCGGATTGCTCAAGGTCAGGAGTTCAAAACCAGCCTGAGCGAGACCCCGTCTCTACTATAAAAATAGAAAGAAATCAATTGGCCAACTAATATATATATATAAAATTAGCCGGGCATGGTGGCTCGTGCCTGTAGTCCCAGCAACTCGGGAGGCTGAGGCAGTAGGATTGCTTGAGCCCAGGAGTTTGAGGTTGCTGTGAGCTAGGCTGACGCCACGGCACTCACTCTAGCCTAGGCAAGAATGCGAGACTCTGTCTCAAAAAAAAAAAAAAAAAAATCATATCTTGTATATCATCACAGAAGTCATACCTGAGAGAAACCTTATGAATGTCATGAGTGTGGAAAGGTCTTCAGTCTAAACTCCTTCTTGGCAAGTCATCGGAGAGTTCATACTGGACAGAAACCTTACAAGTGTAATGAGTGTGGCAAAACCTTTAGTGTGTGTTCAAGCCTTGCTAACCATCATAGAATCCATACTGGAGAAACCTTTAAAGTGTCATGAAATGAGTGTGGCAAGGGTTTCAGTGGGAATTCGTATGTTGCACATCATCAGAGATTTCATCCTGTGGAGAAATTTTATTAATGTGACAATGTAATGAATGTAATTAACATGGGAAGGTATGTCAACATTAAAGCCTTTAAAGACATTGGATAATTCACAGTAAAAGAAAATTTTAAAGTGTGATGAATGCAGCAAAGCCTTTAGTTATTATTTAAGGCATAATAGCTGCCAGTTAATGCATAGTGGAGAACAGCCTTACAAATGTATTGAATGTGACGAGCCTCAGGGTATAATTTGGACATCAGTATTCTGCAAACAATTCTTGCTGTTGACAAACCTAACAAATGCAAATCTTTTAGTGTACTTTCACTCCTTAGGCACATCAGATAACTCATACAGGAGAGAAGCCGTTCCAATGTAATGAATGTGGGAAGGTCTTCTGCCACATTCACACCTTACACATCATCAGAGAATTTATACCTGAGAGAAAATTTGGAAATATGATGAGAGTTTCAAAGCTTTGTTATGAGTTCAAGCATGATCAAAACAGGGAATTCATAATTCCATTTCATCAAATTGTAATGTATGAACTTTCATGTAATTATAATGTATGTGACAGATATTTTCATGGCCTTACACTCAGTAGCCATCAAAAAATACATGTTTGGTGAAACCATACAAAGCTGAGGTGCATGCTTAGGCATTTATTCAAACATCAAAACTGATGATGCCGGCCAGGCACGGTGGCTCAAACCTGTAATTCTAGCACTCTGGGAGGTAAGGAAGGTGGATTGCTAGAAGTCAGGAGTTTAAAACCAGCCTGAGCAAGAGTGAGACCCCATCTCTGCTAAAAATAGAAACAAATTAATTGGTTAACTAAAGAAAATATGGAAACAATTAGCTGGGCATTGTGGCACATGCCTGTAATCCCAGCTACTCAGAAGGGTAAGGCAGAAGGATTGCCTGAGCCTGGGAGTTTGAGGTTGCTGTGAACTAGGCTGAGGCCATGGCACTCTAGCTCGGGCAACAAAGTGAGAATCTGTCTCAAAAATTTAAAAAACTGATGATGTCAAACATCAGAATGTTCATCCTGGAGAGGAACTGCACAAATATAGTGAATGTATTGACCCTTTTAGTCAAACAGTCATGAGTTTTTTGTCACAAAATGTTTTTTTTTTTTTTTTTTTTGAGACAGAGTCTCACTTTGTTGTCCAGGCTAGAGTGAGTGCCGTGGCATCAGCCTAGCTCACAGCAACCTCAAACTCCTGGGCTTGAGTGATCCTTCTGCCTCAGCCTCCCGAGTAGCTGGGACTACAGGCATGCGCCACCATGCCCGGCTAATTTTTTATATATATATCAGTTGGCCAATTAATTTCTTTTCTATTTATAGTAGAGACGGGGTCTCGCTCTTGCTCAGGCTGGTTTTGAACTCCTGACCTTGAGCAATCCGCCCGCCTCGGCCTCCCAAGAGCTAGGATTACAGGCGTGAGCCACAGCGCCCGGCCACAAAATGTTAATACTTGATAAAAACAAGGCAAATGTACTGAACCTAGAATGTTCACTAAGGTGCATCCTTAGGATTCATTAAAGAATTTATACTCAGATGAACACTTATAAATGTAATGATATTGTAAATTATTTAATCAATTCTAATAAAACACTCCATATTGGAGAGTTCATAGAATAAGGAAGTCTCAAATTCTCCAAGATTAACCTTTGATATATACTGCCTAATAATTACAAGTCCAAATATGTTAAAAGTCATGCCATATATCAAAGGTGAAAGGACATTTGAAATGTGCAGTTATTGTCAGGATAGAAAATATTTTATTCCATTATTGCAAGTTTTTTGGAAAGGCTTCTTTAGTTTTGACTTTCAAAATGAAGTTTGGAATCTATTTATATTAATATTATGCCTTTCTTACACTCATTTCATCATCCTCTAGAGGAAAGAGCATATTTTGTTAGGTAAGGCTGATTTCTATTCACATTCCTGGAGATCAAGGACACTGCCTTTTAAAATTAAATATTAAACTTATCATTTGGAAAGGGCTAAGAATAATGTAAAATTATTATCAGTCATGCTCATTGCATTCAGGGTACCTGTCTCCATGCTGAAGACCACTGTGGTAAATAGAAAAGGAATGCTCTGATCAAATACAGATAACCAATGCCTTAGGAGACTAGAATTTTTATGGGAAGAAAGTACTATGTTAGCTGGTACTGATGATATAGTAGAAATAGTGCAGGGAAAATGGTAGCACCTTTTCCATTCAATGGAAATAGCTATTGGATATCAAGATTGACGAAAAATAGTGTTACTCTTTTTTTTTTTTTTTTTTTTTTTGAGACAGAGTCTCGCTTTGTTGCACAGGCTAGAGTGAGTGCCGTGGCATCAGCCTAGCTCACAGCAACCTCAAACTCCTGGGCTCAAGCAATCCTGCTGCCTCAGCCTCCCGAGTAGCTGGGACTACAGGCATGCGCCACCACGCCCGGCTAATTTTATATATATATATTAGTTGGCCAATTAATTTCTTTCTATTTATAGTAGAGACGGGGTCTTGCTCTTGCTCAGGCTGGTTTTGAACTCCTGACCTTGAGCAATCCGCCCGCCTCGGCCTCCCAGAGTGCTAGGATTACAGGCTTGAGCCACCGCGCCCGGCCAAATAGTGTTACTCTTTAAACTGAAAAGAGAACATGTATCAGACAGGAGAATTGAATCAGAAGAACCACAATAGCATATGCTTGATCAGGAATCACGTTTAACTGCTGGCATTATTTCCTATTGTTTTATTCAAACTGTATCATAGGTTTTATGTATGAATAAAATTTAATCTTTTTTTAAACTATGAGTGAATCATGATTGTTCTACCAGCATAATTTCATTTGACCTCAGTAGGATACTTCATATTTGACATAACACTGTACCATTTGCTTCCTAAGGGTAAAGAATCTATAATAATATTTTAGTGGCGGAATCAACTGTGAAGTATGTTTTGCACTTAAGTCATGCTCTCTGCCATTTTACTTGAGATACTTATGTAGATATAATGAAAATCCCATAGCAGTGCAGTTCTGTTCTCTGAGACCTGAAAGCCTGCATTACTATTGCTGAACATGGATTGTATTGTAAATATAAATCCAGCTGGGCCTAATGGCTTACACCTCTAATCCTAGCACTCTGGGAGACCTAGAAGGGAGGATCGCTTGAGGTCAGGAGTTCAAGTCCAGCCTGAGCAACATAATGAGACCCCGTGTCTACAAATGTACAAAAATTGGCTGAGCATGGTGAAGCATATCTGTAGCTCCAGGTACTTCGGAGGCTGAGGTAGGAGGGTCATTTGAGGCCAGACATTTGAGGTTGCAGTGGGCTATGATGACACCACTGCTCTCTAACCCAGGAAATAGAGTGAGACTTCTATCTCAAAAAATGAAAATATTCTAAATGCCTATCTTGCATGCCATATAAGATACGTGGCATATGCTTTAATTTACACAAAGTAAAAATACAAACGTACACTATGAAAAATATTAAAAAATAAAAGTATATGTAGGGAATAAGGATAAAAATAACTTTGTTCTCTTTAGAGTGCTTGGTGAACTAATCTGAAAAGATTAATAGTTATGAGTTTCCTCTTAAGAATAAATAGACACCATAAGATTTTTATTTTATATAAACCTAGTAACTTCATAGATTTACCCCTATTATATTTTTGGTAATTACTACTGTGACCACTTCACTGGACCTGCATTGACCAATCCCCAACAATTGGTTTGTTTTTCAAAAATGATGCTATACGTTGAAGTGGTATGTAGATTATGATCACATACTGCAATGTTCTGGGAGAAGCAGAGTAGACTTCCTAAACTGGTCTAAAAATGCCTTGAGAGCAGGGAAATACCACTGCCTTATGTTATAGTGGTGATGACAGGAGGCAGGAGTGAGGATACCTGGACCAATTGGGAATTCCTGCTGCCAAGGCATGGAGCACTCATAGCCTTTATTATGACCTTTTCCAGAGAGGCCAAACAGAAGAGGGAGGGAGTGGAGAGGCTTAAAGGGTCATTAGTCAAACACAAAAAAATGGAGTCAGACTTTTAGTGAAACCCTGTACGTTAACTCTTGATACTCCTGATATTTGTATCGCATAATTTTCATTTAATCATTGGAGACAGGGTCTCACTCTGTTGCCCACGGTGGAGTGCAGTGGCACAATCATAGCTCGCTCTAGTCTTGAAGTCTAAAGCTCAAGGGATCCCTTGCTTCAGCCTCCTAAGTAGTTGTGGACTACAGGCGTGTGTCACCACACCCAACTTAATTGAATTTAAATTTTTAAATTGTTTTTGTAGAGATGAGGTCTTGCTATGTTGCCCAGGCTGGTTTCAAATGCGTGGCCTCATGAGATCCTTCTGCCTTGACCTTCCAGAATGCTGGGATTATAGGCATGAGCTACTGTGTTTCCCCAAAAATAAGACAGGATCTTAT